GAGTTCAGTTCGATCAGAACCGAACGAAACAGTGCCCTCAAATAAACATGTAATAGTCTACGGTGCCGCCTCTTCGAAGTGTTGAATCTCGGAACTATAAACTACCTCAATTGTATGTTATTTGTATGGTCAGGTAGCTGCACATACTTCGAGCCCTAACCAATAGTTAACCACGACAATTCCAAGTTCGTCACGTGTACATCTTTAAACATTAAATTGAGGGCGTTTATTTAAACATGCGCAAAAGTCGCCAGTACATATTTAAGCACCGACAATTTCAGTGTGACGTACATTAGAGATATCGATATTATATAATAGTATGCATACAAATTAGTAAGATCAATGTGATCGCATTTTTCCGCAATCATTCTTTTTTTCCCGTATTTTGCTGTTTTTATGGCTATTATTGTAATTTCAACATTTTTCATTTCCATGTCCATCCCACAGTTTGTTCGATTGAAATATTGTTATCGAATTATGTTTGTTTTATCTATTGAGTACTAGTATATTTAGAATGCATTAGCGAGAAAAATCATTCTGGAATGAAAATTAACTAAGATAAGCAGTTCGAGACGAATTCAAATTTTGCATTATGGTATAGAACTTCCCACTAAATATAGAAAAATATTGTCACACTAAAAACTAAATTAAATGTAATAGTTTTAAAAAATATTGGGATTCATATAAATGTCCAATCCAAGCTAATATAGATATAGTAACAAGTTCACCATAGCAACAAATGCATAAACGTAATTCCAAATATTGTCTAGTGAGAGTGTCACCTTTTTTTTCGAGTTTCTGGATCTCGAGAGCATTATGACCCATAAGTATAGTCGAACAATTGACTTTTAATTTCCAATTTTTTTCCGCTGATGTCCGATTGATATATATATTAATACGGTTTTTAAAAAAGGAATATGGATTACTGCCACATGACGAAATCAAATGACAATCTAATGGTTTATTTTGTTTGTAATTCCAATGGGTGCTTGTTTTAAACTTGTATTTATCACAGGAATGTAAAAATAATTTACAAGCAAATCTTAAAACATAACTTTATTTGGAAAAATTGCATTCAATCTGAATAATTAGAGTAGCAGCAACCCATTGCTGTTGCTTTTCACGCTAAGGTGGCGGTTGTTGTAATATTGTACATGTATGGGACCATAGATATTGTATATAGCGCCACCTAGAGATGGAAAATACAAAACTTGAAACAAGAAACAGTACACTACATGTAAAAGTTTTCAACACAAGACAAACTGATACGCGCGTCTCAAGACGTCACTAGTCAATCAGCTGCTACAGATTTGCATAGCGACTCACTCTGCACCGGAGATGTCTGGTCGTAATACCGGTGCGTCACTGTTTCGCTGTTTAAAAACAAAGTTACACGCGAGAGGCAGTACGGGGGCACTCATCGCATAAATAATGCTACCTTCTTTATTAATGAAATTGTGAATGAAATTACATTCATTACACGTTTATGTTAAAGTACAAACCAATAACATTGGATGATTGGAATTACATCCAATAATGACCTTGAGAAAAGTTGCCCGGACATTCGAAGTACTGCGGTTATACCAGCGATACTCAATATTGATTGTTGAATACAAAATCAGTTGTACAATCTTTGTTAGTAAAATACAATCACATCACAGCTCCCAGATGATGATTTCCAGAGTTCAAAAACCTGTATCACTTAATCATGTTTATATATATATATATATATATATATATATATATATATATATATATATATATATATATATATATATATATATATATATCAATTAAATTAATTTGTATTCTCATGAAACAAAGTAAAAAATAAGTTTTATTGGATATCCTATTAACTTCCAGTCGAATAGAACAAATTAAATCCTAGCATGAACAATATGATATGTTTTAATATTGATATCATATACTTCAATAATAGAGTTAAATTTACTCTTCACTTTTTCCTTAAGCCTATGCGCCAGATCATCCTTTCTCGTTTTGTGCATCTGACCATCTTCATGAAATTGTAAAACTGGTATTGCCGTTTTGAGGGAATTATAAGAGAATTGTCACGCTTAGCCTCCATGTCTTTGCTATGATCAAAGCTCTACGGAATATCAACTCTGAATGTTATTCTTCTTTGACAGTGGCATTTGATACATTGATGACGACGTTATCAGGATGGTTATCTACCTCAAATGGGTTTGCTGTACTGTCAGATATGTGGTTGATCAATATCTGAACGTGTTGTTCACCTCGTTTCGTGGCAGCAGAGTATTGTTGCGTGTGAGCGCGCGAGTCATTTAGCCCACTACGCTCCTTTATGGAGTTGTCATAATTACTTAGAAAGTGACGATTCAGGGTAGTCATCGAACCAATCAGTCTTCTTCCTTATGAATCTAATCATTCCACTCTCTCCTTTTATAGCACCACAAACTATGTTTTTTTCTGTGTGCGGAGGTCGGAGTAGATAACATTGAATCTATCTGCTGTTTGTCGCACTGAAATTGTCCATTTCAAATAAAGTCTTATTTTATGTTGTCAGGTATTTTGTATCAGTTGGTAAATCGTGGCCGTCTAGAATAATTAACTACATCACAAGCGTAGAAAAATGGCAGCATGTATACTTATATAACCCAGTCACCATCTCTGAATTTCAGCATGTATGCTCATCAACATTGCTGACAATATATGAAGAAACATCACCCAGATATTTTAAAGATAGGACATTGCGTAGCGTCCTATGACATCAATTATACAATTGCACAGATAGCTTGCTGATAATCAACCCACTAATCTTTACAGTGGCGACTTCAAAGAGGTCGCAGGGGGTGCGCGTCACCTCTAAGCTCGTGGTTACTCATACACATATATCCCACAATGCAATGCGCAATTGTAATGGTGTCCCGCAACTGAACAGCATACTTCCGCGCCCCTGTATACTAGACATGTTTTTTTTTAATATTCGAGGTACTGGACGCTGTGTTAGCTGTATCAATTGATGGGTTTCTGCTTTTGTGTTAGAACCAGAGATTTTTCAAGCTTTACTCCTCCAATGTTGAGAGCATTGACATTCAAATTTCCCCCTCAAAATGCAGGAAATAGCGTCCCGGGGTTCTAGCGTCCTCATGCAGAATTTCGTACCGTCGCTTTTGTTTTTTTTACTGTTGAATATTACACATTGAAATAAACATCACCTACTTACTGCAGACATCATCTGATGACTAATAATCCGGACCTCCAAAATCAAACACATGTTTATATGTTGATAATTTAAAAAAAAAATTGCTAAAGGTTTTAGGCACCGTCCCTCAACACCCGGTTAAGAAAGGCTATTGTCTAAAGGTGTTAATTCCTTAATCAACCAGGTGTTGAGGGACGGTGTTTTAGGATACTTTTCAGTGTAACATTATTAAACTGTGTAAGTTAATACCGGTAATTGTTCCAATGTTTATCTAGCTGTACATCGTGTCTGCATGTGTACACAAAATGTTGTGATCCTTCGCTGTTTTGCAGCATAGATTATTGTACACCCTGATTAGTGTTTCTATGGAAACATCAATTTCGATAACTCAACAAATTGTCATGAAATTCTCGGATGATGATGCCCTTGACAAATAGACTAATGAATCAAAGTTTTGAACAGACTGTTTGCAAGAAACCAATGATCTCATGGCCATAGAAACAAGAACAATTTCAATGATTATTCTTTGCCAGACGACTCAACAATTTATGAATTTTTATGACTTTTTCAGGACGGATTGTTGATCAGACAAAAACCCATCTATTACATTTTAGGCGAAGGTTTGCAGTGTTCTCCACGAGGGGTTTTAGCAGGACGCAGCTCCCTGCATAGGAAGTCGTACGCCCTGCATAGATAGTTGTGCGCCCTGCATAAGTAGTCGTGCGCCCTGCATCGGTCAACAAGCGCCCTGCATTCACATTTCCCGCCCCGATCAAATACATTGTATTGTTAGTTGAGTATAAGTTTGCACTTCGAGTGCCTTCCATTTGTAGCTGTATTTCCAATCATTTTACATTTCTTCTTCCACACATACCCAAAATTTGGATTAATTGACCAGTTTGTACATTTCATTTCATTACAATACACATCAATAACTTCCATTGTTTTCACATAATTACAAGCATGGTAATGCTGAAAACACTTGATTGATTAACACTAAGACCTACAAACAATGTTTTTTTTCTGATTGGCTAATCAGTAGTCCAATCAGCATAAGTCTTCAGTCGAAATATGACAACTGTAACACTATAATTTGCAATGTATTTTGCATTGTTTTATTGCTTTAAAAAATTGCACCACGATTACCACACACACCACAAGATGAAAAATTCTAATACAGCACAACTGGCGAGTTTGATAACTGAAATGTTATTAGATTCGTAATGTGAGTAGATACATTCTTACATTCGACCTATGACCCATTAAAGATCCTTCCTTCCTTCCGAAACTAGTTGACTGGGTAATTCACAAGAAACCATATTTCATGTCTTGAGCTGTACAAAATGGAGTAATTTTAACAACATTGATCACAAAAAACAGCCAGTACAATATTTTAATAGCAAGTTCACAGACATGTTTCCTGGTTGCTACATTACTGAGGGTGTCAGAAAGGGATTTCCAAGTCTGATCCTACAGCCAGTTTGCCTCAGTTTTTTTTTTGTTTTTTTCCAAGCTGAATAGACATGATTGTATGAGGTCCCAGAAATATTTTACAAGGCACGTAGAAATACCAAAATGGTATACCCGATAAATTGATTGTGTGTGTGTGTAAATGTAAAATGTGTTTTCTGTATTTTATGAAAATTTTGTAAAGTTTTAAATGATTGGAACAAAACTGAAGCTAGTACAGTAAAATGTCTACTTAATAATGCTTATTTCAGCTGACTAGAAGTGAATCTACGCCAATCTGACCCTTTCACGCACATGGTAACAAAGCAGTCAGGAAACCCAAAACTTGTCTATTAGACAGATTAAACAGACATAATTAAAAAAGATCAATTGATAATTAAAAAGTAGATTAGGCTTTGAGATAAAATCATCATCATGTACAGGTTGTAAAATTATTAATAAAATATTATTAAAAATGATACATTACTATATTGTAGAATATTTGTAAATTGATATGAACGTGAAGCATGTTTGTGGGAACATACAAGTTTGAGGATGAGTGACCTTTGCAAAGTCATGCAAATACAAGGTTAAGGTGACAGTGTGCCATATATCGAGTGACCATAAATACCACTAATGAGACAAACAAATTAGAATCATTTTTTTCTCTTATCTGAGAGAGAGTCAACCATCTTGAGTAATTTTGATTTTTAAAAAATTAATATATTTTTTTTCACGATTTGATGCTAAACACCATTGCCAAGAATTGTTCATAACTGATGGTGATGCGTCCTTGCATGCTGGTGTCGTACTGGCGGAATGAGCTCGTCAGCGTCTGGAACATAAACATACATACATGTAAATGATTGATAATATATAATGATAAATTAATATTTAATAAAAATTCATTTTTATCAAAAAATCAAAATATATTTCCCTTCACTACCAATACAGGCAAGATAAATAAGAAATATATGAAGGCGTAATACACATCTCAATTGCTGACTAGTCTTTAACAGATTGCCTCGTATATCGATTCCTGGATATTATGTATCCCATCTATCATTGCTTTTTTTTTAGTGGTGACCAAGCGACACCTTTCAAAAATGTGATTTATGGAGCTGAGTAATCTGAGTGGCGGAACTAATATAGTATTAAATTAATTAACAAAATAATTTTGATATTTTACCTGTATTACAATACAGCACTGGATGAAATCATCAAAGGCAACATTTCCTTTCCCTTGTCTATCAAATTTACGCAAAAGTATGTCATAGAAATAGTCAGAAAATCTGTAACCTGGAGTAAAAGACAGAGAAAAAGAGTTATTTTTATAAATATTGAATATTACCCACTAAAATAAGTACTGTAGAATACTTTATTTTTGCTTGGAATTTATTTTCGCTGAAGGGATGTTTTCGTGAAAATAAAATCCAGCGAATATACTTTTTTTCCTATATTTCACATTAAACTCATCAAAAATCAGTGAAAATAAATTCCACACAAAACGCCCAAAAAGCCTTTTCAGCGAAAATTAATTCCAGCGAAAATAAAGTATTCCACAGTATTTATCTAAAGATACATCTGATCAAATTATTAAAAATCACAAAGATTGAGTCTCACTTCTGTATTTTGTAATGGCGCATGATAAATCACACTCGATCAGAAATTATATGCATAGAGATAAAGAGTACAGCTACACTGCACAATAGCCCAGAGCAAAAACTCTAAAAACAGAAATGTAATGTTTTATTGACTACTATATATTGAGTGTAGACATGCATGATTTGCGTTTGCCCATTTTTCTGAAATATTATTTATTAAGAATAAAATCCTTATGACAGTTCCAGTTGAATTCAAATTCTGCACTGTTGAAAATGTTACTGCAAATATATGCAATGCATTATGGGAGATAAAATCCCATTACTGGTATATATAATGGGAAATTAGTATCACTAAATTATGTCAAATTTTGAAATGAGTTTATGTTAGATTTCATACATGTTATCAACATTAATATATGGCTTTTTCATCTCACGTAAAACAGCAAAAATTTTAGATATGAATGAATAATCTCTCCATAGAAAACAAGTGTAAAAATCACAATTTTGACCATTTCGGACTTTTGTATTTCAAAAATATTATTCAGTGACCCAATTTCTCTTTCATGTTCGGTATTCGGACGGTATGAAATCATAATCATTGATATATTTTAATGTATGACGAACATGACATAAACGTCAATTCGACTCGAACCTTAAAGGATTTGTTTTGGATAAATTGAAGTTGGTTTAATATTGTGGGCTTTTTTTATTTTAAAATCTTCATCATAAAACTTTTATTTCATTGTCCATAGGCGCTTTTAAGTGCAGCTGTGTGTTCTCAGTAGCTTAAACGATATGCATGAGTAATGTCTAAAAAGTGTGAATTATTCGTAACTGTCAGTCTGATAAAAATACATTTTCAATGACTTGTGAATATCAGAAATATTACAGCAAGTCTCAGAAGTATTGGGGCAGCCAATTTGCAAACTCGCTAGCGAATTGCCTAACTGATTGGGTTTTGACTAAACAGTTGGCTTTCGAATCTCACTGGCACCGACTCGTGGTCGCGTCCACTCAGGGCAAGTCTATATTGCATTAGGGAACATAGAATGCTTTTACGTAGCCCTGGTACATGTCTGGATTCCCCTGAATGATTTGCTGCAGCGAGGCGTGATAATGTGAAAGTAGTTTTCCATGTCAGCTGGCGTACAAGTGATAATATGATAAATGCGATTAATCCACTGATATTTACTATATGGGGGGTAGCCATCTTGAACACCGCTTGAAACCAAATAAAGAGACAACTAAAGTATGACGACTGTCCCTTACTGTTATATAGGTTCACCCAGAGTGGGCGTGACCACAGGACAGCGCCAGCGAGATTCAAAAGCCGACCATTCAATCAAAACCAAAGCAGTTAGGCAATTCGCTAGTGAGTTTGCAAGTTGGCTTCCCCAATACTTCTGAGACTTGCTGTAATCTCACCAAAAACAAGTCATTGTCAATGACACGTCCCCGTTCCGTTCATATTTGAGTGACATATACATTCAAAGCAGCAACAATATGAATGTTAAACTGCATTCAGTAAAACAAAATAGCCACCAGTCAGCCATTTTCAACACAAAATTTAAACTAAATTTGCCCACGCATGACATAAATTCAGTTCCGGTATGGTGAAAATGTGCAATTTTTGACCTTAAAAGGACTGGCCCAAATGCACAGGCATATGTATGATATAATGTATGATGTGTATGTGAAGTTTGAACTTGATCTGTCCAGGCATGTCCGAGATATGGATCGAAAACTAAATTCTTTAAAACAAAATGGCCGCCAGTCGGCCATTTCGAACATGATCCGAAAAAAAAATGACGTGCATCAAGGTCCTATTATGTTTAATGTATGTACCAAATTGGAACAAAATCCGTCCATGCATAACTGAGATCCGGGTTCGGAATGGTGAAAACGTGCGATTTCAATGCATTTTCGGCCTTAAAGCGGCCGCCATTTGGCTATCGTTAATGAGATCATGAAACAAATGCACATACATATTTGTGACATGATGTACCTTGTGTGTGTGAAGTTTGAACTCGATCAATCCAGGCATGTCTCAGATACGGATCCAGAACTGAATTCTTTAAAACAAAATGGCCGTCAGTCGGCCATTTCAAGCCCGATCCAAAAAAAAAAAATGACGTGCATCAAGGTCCTATTATGTTTAATGTATGTACCAAATTTGAACAAAATCCGTCCATGCATAACTGAGATCCAGGTCCGGAATGGTGAAAATGTGCGATTTTGATGCATTTTCGGCCTTAAAATGGCCGCTATTCGGCTATCGTTAATCGGATCATGAACAAAATGCATGTGCATATGTCCCATATAATGTGTGATGTATGAGTGAAGTTTGAACTTAATCGGTCCATGCATGTTCGAGATACAGGTGATCACGGACGCACACAGGGCAAAACATAAGTCCCCGTTTTCGGACTACGTCCGAACGGGGACTAATGAAGCGGTTTCAGTACACACTGATGGTACAGTACAGACAACACATACCATGAGTGTATCATTTATAATTACTCCACTTACCAAAGGCAGTTAGAGCGTTTTTCAGCTCGTTTTTGTCAATAAATCCAGAATTATCAGTATCATGGCTACGAAAAGTGTTTTGCCAATCGGTAATGTATTTCCAGAGAGCACCAAATTCTTGGAAATTAATAGTGCCTTTGTTTTGTCTGTCGAACATATTGATCATCATTCTGACGGTCTCCGGGTTAAAAGGATTCCATGTTCCTGCAATAGTGAAAATAATTAATGTGATTTAGATTATTATGAAATTATTTTGAATTGAATACTTCCTTTGTTTTTATTTTTAGTTTATTTTCATGTAAATAACATATTTACGTACCATTCGATAATGCTTGCTGTAATTCATCACATGATATCTGTCCACTTCGGTCTTTATCAACTCTATCATAATCATAAAAAGAGTTGGTAATTATTGTAATAATAATAATAATTATCAAAGAAAGCTTAGAAAAACTCCCGTAAGCTGAGAATATTGGAGACACAAACAGAAAACTGCAAACAGAAAATACATTTGATCTGAAAGGCAAAATAAATGCTCTTCATGCAGATATTTTTCAACAATTAAAATATATACCCCAAGTATTACGCTTTTACACCTCACCATCCCTCATGTTACGTAAATATGAAGAATGTTGTAGTTTGGTTTTATGACCAATATTTTCTAATTATCATCACCATCTTTCCTGGTCTCCTTGTGGATCCCCATTGGAATAGCATGTGTAATGTAGAATGTCTCCTGATGGTACTGGTGACGTCACATACAAAGTTGTATCCACGAAGAGAATGACACAATGGAGATGGGTGTCTTCAGACACATCAATGATAATTATTAATTAATGTAACATATTTTAGTCAAGAAACTACCCTCATTATGATATATCAACAAAATACATCATAACATGATTACCATCTGGTTTAAAGTATAATGATAGCCTAGGTCAATAGGTGTGGTATCGTCACTTCGACCTTCGGACAATCATGGAGCTCCATGGGACAATGATCAGAGTACTGCGGGCCCGAGTTACAACGCCAGTGCCAGTAGCTCTATTAATCGAAATACAGCGTACATCAATAAGTTTGTCTTTCCCTCAACATCCTTACCTTTGAAAAACTCCCCACAGAAACTGTTGATCGGCACCAGGTTGGGGCTGTCGTGGGGCACCGTATCCGCCACCACCGTAACCTTGTTGGTACGCCATTTTGACCGAATCCTCGTTCACTGACGTAATATTGTCGTAGACCAGGCGGACACTTGAACATTAAACATTATTTATTGTTCCGTTATTTTGATATTACATCTTTGATTACATTGAATAGTGTATTACTTTCACAGCATTTATCTATAAATCGTGTCTGAATGCGCGATTTATTGCATTTTTAGCGTTAGAAGCTAAACGATGTGCGTTTTATCATCGAGTTAGGGGGCACGTGGTTTTATTTTTCGCTGTTGTCATACGAATCTAAGATCGAGTCACTGCATGAAAACGAAATAGGAATTAATTCACATAAACTGATGTAAATACTTATCAGAACTGTGGATTCTCACGTCCGGTAAGTGACACGGTCCATAATCCGAATAGTAACATTCTGTTCATTTAACTTTATTTTCCGTAAAGTGATAGCAGCGTTGCAGCCTGCAGGCCCATAATGTAAATGTAATCTGAGCTGTCACTGCTTTCGTCCCGTCGTTCGTTGACATTTTAGCAGATGCCTCTCCCCACCACCAGCTGCCAGTGCGCAGCTTTCCTTGAAATTCACGGTGGATTTAAACAATAGTATTATTTACGCGCACACCAATGCACATAGTTCTTGGGCAGGTGAACAAGTGTTCACCACATAATAATAGTACCTCCTGTGAAGTCAGGACGGGTGGGGTGATTGGGTAAATCGGTATTGTATCTGATATATTTACACATGAAAATAATGTAAATACTGTAGACAAAAATCAGCAGGTAATTGTCAATATTTTGAAACAAGTAGGTAATCAGTAGTTCTGATCTCGAAACATCCAGAGAAATCTCAATGTTAAAATCTGGTGGTTTTCACTGTAATCATATCAATGAAAAAAAAATTTATTTAAAATCAAATATATTACTATATTTTATATATTAATAATTAGGATCAAATAAATGTATTTCAAGTTGTTTACAGTGAAAATTATACAAATAATTGTCTATTCCGTTTTAATGAGGTTAAATATTAAAAATAAAATGAAATATTGAATGTGACAGTGCATATTTATGCTGCCGAGTTATTTATTGTTTGTGATATGTTCTCAGTTGAACGCCTTGGTTCAGCAGTTTAAAGCACTACAGTTGTGTTGGATGTGGGACCCACAGCGGTGCACTACACTGGGTGTAAAATATATTGTTTGTTTACATTAAAATTCAAGCACATGCTGCACGATGATAGTAGCGTTTTAACATCAACTTACATGAAACTTTAAAGTAATAAAAACGGAATTATAAAAAGAAATATAATTAATTCATAACAATTATTAAAACAACCATTCTCTGTTATGATCTGAATACTAATTTACTAATACCATATGTTTCTTTTCACGCATTAAACACAATAAACATGACATGATAGTAATGTGTCCAGTATGACTGCTAACATGTGTTCACCCTATGTACACACATGCTTTTGTACACTGTGCCCCTAGTTACTGGTGTCTTCGGAAGCTTTGTGCCTTTTAAAAGTGTATCTTTGGTACCAATTGTTCAATTGAATCCCATTCACAATTGCTCACAGTATGCTGCCTCTCAAAATGGCAATCACTTTCTAAAAAAAAAAAAAAAACTAATTTATTTAAGGCAGTGAAATGAACACTTAGTTGTATTATTAACTGACTCGGTTTTATTAAAACTTCTTGACTTGAATGGTATTTTATTTTGTAGGGCTGTTACAGAGACATTCTATACTATACTACTAGTATTGGTCTTTTGAATTTACACATTCATTGTAGACATTTAAAAAGTTCATTTTTGTTGTTTGCTTTGGTAAGGATAACTTGTATAATCTTTCGCTATTTTTCTTTGTTACACTATCTAATATTCAGGGACTTTGCAGTCTTATTCTTAATTTTTAAAGGGCCATGTGTCTTTTGTCAGCCCTTATAATTCAAGTAACACTGAGCTAAAATGACTATTGTCTACACTAAATCAACACATGTGAGGAAAGTTTTGAGATGTACATGCTATGTATCACAACAAAAGCATGTATGTACGAATCACTTAGACAGCTGGAAAATAAAACATTGGTCAACCAATGTAATTTTTCGGGTATTTGCATATTTTTATCATAAATATATGCCATATCGAATGATTCGAGCAAAATTTTTCAGTATTACAAAATTTTAAGATTTTCACTGGCTGGCTGGATTCTGCTTCAATTGGAATTTGCAAGTAATGAAATTCATGAATATAAAGGGAATGGTATTGTTGTGCTGATAGTACCACAAGGTCCTTTTGTTTCAGTATTATATAGATTGAAGAAAACCACTAACAAAAACAGTAATTCACATGAGCCACCATATTCTGAATTTAAATATATGGAACCCTGTATAGTCTAAAACACTTCTGTTTGTAATAATAATAATAATAATGATGGATTGATATATGATAAATTCTATAAATTCCTAAACAAAAGAACTTCCTGTCAACATATATTCAAATGTTCTTATTCTTACAGGTGTTTCCTGTTCAGTATTCATGATATGTGACAATGAGGATGACATTTTAAATTAATATTTTTATCTCCATTTTACAATATTAAACTCTTTTTTTTTTTAGAAAAAAAAAATCTTTTAAATTGTCATTATTGTCTTGCATACAGTTTTTCTATAAAGTACAATAAAACAAATTTTGAATTTTTGCAAAAAGAATACAACACCTAGTTGTCTGTTATTTTCTTTAGAATATTCTTTCAATCAACTACACATAAATTCTTTTAACACAAGTCTTTTACCAAACAATCTATTTATTACTGATACAATTAAGCCTATTTTATTTAAAAGTTGACAATAACAGTTTATTCAGCAAGATCACTATTTGTTTGCCTGAATTGCTTTTCAGTTTTGCAAATTATAAAAATATTAAAGATTGTCATATGGAACAATCTAAAATCACTTTAGCATTGTGATAATTGTGAATAAAAGAAACACATTTTTTATTCTGTCTATTCAGTTATAAAGTCGCTATGACAACACAGCTAATGGTTTTATGCACAACAAACATGGGAAATAACTCTTCAATTAAAAAGGTTATCTTTACTTTACATTATAACTACAGCAGTTTGACAAAATTAGCACTTACCCTTCAGTGACATCCTCTTATCAACCCAGTTATTTATATTCGTTGTTAACAGCTTGTGTCGATGCACTTGTACTTGTATCATGGTAACCCAGTGACTACGGTAGTAAATTATTTGTTGCCCAGTTTAATAGTTTTAACTTTGAACATGGAGTTTATTATACTGTGAAAACATGTACCCCAAAACTCATTGTAAATCAGTAAATTTTTAAATCTGGTGTGAGTTGATCATGAGTAGGTATATCAATTTGTGTGATACTATCTGAAGGCTACACCGACTATCTAACTGTAAGGCCGTCATTGATTAGCTCCTGAAAGTGTGACGAGCATCCCTTCACCATTTTCATAATGGAGCTGAAAATAGGTGGTTTCACTCAGCAAAGGAAACTCTGAAATCAAAACCGTTTATTTATATTCCACTACTTAAAATCGTTGTATTTCGCTCTACTGTAATGTATATCTGCCCAGAGTAGGCGAGACCACATCTCGGTGCCAGCGAGATTAAAAAATCAACTGTTTAGTCAAAACACAATTCGCTAGTGAGTTTGCAAACTGGCAGCCCCAATACTTTTGAGACTTACTGTAATCACCACCAGAAATGACAGTGGCTCATAGTTGAGGGTCTTAGGGGTATATATTTCATAAACATGGTATTATTTTCTTCCAGTTGAATTGAAAACTGAAACTGATAGTGTTACTTAGTCTTACTAATGGGAAATCGATAAGAATTTGAAACTGTGCTTTGTATACCCTATTCTGTTGATGATGCTCTAAGTAGATGTACATGTACCGGGTACTTCAACTAAGCACTAATGATTTCATGTCGCTGTTATATCATATTGGATAAAGGGATATGACTCAAACAAAATTAGTTATTCTGTCAATATAATAATTGTGTATGAGCGTGTTCAAAACTTGATTGATGTGAGGTTTATAAATTTGTTGATACCGTAGTTTTGAAGTATGAATACATATACCCTTTATGTGGTGTTTTTTCTTCAGAGGTTACGCATTTATTTGTCTGTGTATGACATATGGGGGACTGTTCTGATTATGGTTTGCTATGAAAAGTTGATGCCATATTTATACCTCCATCACCTGTGTGTACAACACCTGTATATTACATTAACTATGGTAGTGAAAGTACATGTGATATACATACATGTACCAGTACTGTCTTCTACCTGTACAAGGTGACATAGCCGCATGCTCCCATGCCATTAGCCCTGTATGGTAACAAATAATAATGTAAATCATTTTTTTTAAATCTTGTTTTCCAATTACAACTCATAATTGACTAATGCTGCAAAAACTAAAAAAAAAAATTAAAAAGTAGTGCAATTGTTGCACTTACTATTGAAAGCCTTCAAAAATGTTATTTTTCCATCATGCACCACAAGTATGGTGCATTTCCTTCTTATTGCCCCTCTGTGAAATCTTCTGTTTTTATTTTTCAGTTTCAGTTCCTATTTTTATCGAATACAACTGTGATGTTATGTATTTCCACTGTTTGTATAAATAACTAAATGACATTCATTCAATTTATCAAAGCTACTTAAAATGTATTTCCATACAAACAAAATTTTGTCCTTTTAATGAAATAATTTAAATTTAAATCCAATCTTTTTTATATAAATCGATTAATTTAAATAACAATGTATTAGACCCTTTTTCACAAAAATTGTTTTTTATATAAATTATTTATAAATGCTTTTAAATTTTGAGTAATGGTTGAAAACAACTTGACTAATCATAACACCTTGCCGGATACATAATGGCTATATACGATTGTATATTCATTTTTGTGTGCTTGGCATTTTTATTGGTCAATCAAGGAAACATACAAAGACTCATTGGATTGAATGAAGGGTGTTTTACAGATATTGTATAGCTATTCAAACACACCTTCATGAAACAGAGTGTAAGTCAATTTTGCTATTTTCTCATTTACAGATTTCTACTTAAACAAATCTCAAAATGAATCGGCAAAGATCGGCGAATGCTGGGATTGATAATAAAGTGTATCGTGAGACGGTTGCAAGAATGCGTCAAGAAGTTTTAGAAAGTAAAGCAGAGACCCAAAAAGTCCAGGACCAATTGAACTGCCTGATACATCTTGTCAAAAGGTAACCAACTTAACAGTCTATTAGTAATGATTCTTATCTGTGAATCATGGGAAACCTACAAATCTGAAAGAAATGAATTAAAAATGCTCTATATAAACACACAAAAAATGCTAAGCGC